GCCAGGCGCTGGTGGCTCATGCCCGTAATCCTAGCTACTCAGGAGGCTGAGATCTGAGGATCGTGGTTCAAAGCCAACCTGGGCAGGAAAGTCCGTGAGACTTTTATCTCCAATAAATCACTTGAAAACCGGAAGTGGCGCTGTGGCTCAAGTGGTAGAGTGCTCACCTTGAGCTGAAGAGCTGAGGAACAGCCCCCAAGCCCAGAGTTCAAGCCCCAGGACAAAAAAAGAAATAGAAAGAAAGAAAAGAAAGAAAGAAAGAAAGAAAGGAAGGAAATGATCAACCTTCCAAACCCCCAGTATATAGATTCTCTGTGAGTGATGCTGGAGTTATATTTGTAGATCTGGACCATGATGATTTCACCAAGGTATAAGTCACCCTTGGTGATTTGCTGGCTGGTGAGCCTACCCTGATAATACTTTTGCCTCTCCAAATACATGTCTTCCAGACCACTGTGCCTGCTAGCCACATTAATCTAAGCCAGCTGTCTCCCTCATTCTATCTTTTCCCCTACAGATCTCTCCATAATTTTCTTTCTGTCTTTTCCTCTACAGATCTCTCCACAATTTTCTCTCCTCCTAACCAACACTAAACATTTTTTCTATTTCATTTTAACTTTGCTTAAACCACAGAGTTGAATAATAAGAGCTACATGTGAAGCATCATACTGGGTCATTTATTAAAACTATATTCTGACCTCACAATTGCTCTGAATAGCTTCTGTTCCTTACTTTGAAGAGGAGGAAATGGTGGTGCATAATAGCTAGGTAGTGTGTTCACACTTTTGAAGATTTTCTATGCCCATTTTTCAGTTAGCAAATCATATGTTTTATGTTTCCTTTACCTGATGAAATGTTAAAGTTTTGTATTTAACCTCCATCTCAGTTGTGCTTGTGAGTCAGTTATCTTGGAAAAGAATCTACCTCAAATATGGTTTTTTCCCTTAGGAAGAACATTTCTTTTCTTAATAAACTTACATTATTAACTGGAGGGGGATTTCACTGTTACATTTTTCACACATATTGACAATATGCTCCAAACAGTCTCACCCCCTATCACTTGTCTTTTCACCTTTCTTTCTTCCTCACTTCCCAAGACAAGTTCAACAGATTTCCCTGTCCACTTTTCATAGCTGCTAACAATCTATTTTGACTGTATACATCATCTTTCAAAATGCAGTTTATAATTGTTCACTCTCTATTATTCCTTTTCCCTTTCCGGTCCCTTCCTAAGTTAGATTTGTGTTCTGTAGTTATCCATAGAAAAGAGCATTTTTATTTTATTTTTTCTTTTCTTGACAGTACTAGAGTTTGAAGTCAAGGCTTTGTGCTTGCTAGGCAACTGCTCTAACACATTAGCAATGCCTTCAGTCATTTACTTTTTATATTAGAGGACAGAACATCCTTCTGAGTGAGACAAGAGGCCAATTGAAGGTGTCTCTTTGAGTAATAATGCACCATATAGCTCTTTTTTGTCTAAGACCAGATTCAGATTCATTGATGCTTTCATTCATTGGCTGGCACTACACCACCTAAGCCATGCTTCCAGTCCCCAAAATATTGGTTACTTTTCCTTACAGCTCTTTGCTGCTCTCTATTCACTTTCCTGAGAGCCTGGGTTGACCTTACCCTGCTTTCTCTGGTGTGATCTTATTGTACACCATGGAGGCCAGTGAGGCCACACACACTTTCAGCACCAGTGAGAATTGAGGAAATTAAAATGTCACCTGGATTTATAACTCTCAGTAACCTGGAGATTGAAATTGAAGTAAAGTTGCATGTGCATCCTGGAAGACCATGTGCTGTTGTTTTGTGTGTTGAATTAGGCTGCACAGCCCCAATATCCCCCAGTGGCACTAGAAGGTAGTGGGGCACCGGTGGCTCATGCCTGTAATCCTAGCTACTCAGAATGCTGAGATCTGAGGATCACAGTTCAAAGCCAGCCTGAGCAGGAAAGTCTGTAAGAGTTTTCTCTCCAATTAACCACCAGAATACTGGAAATGGGCACTGTGGCTCAAGTGGTAGAGTGCTACCCTTTAGCTGAAGAGCTGAAGAACAGCGCTCAGGCCTAGAGTTCAAGGCCCATGACAGACGAAGAAGAAGAAAGAAGGAAGAAGAAGAAGAAGAAGAAGAAGAAGAAGAAGAAGAAGAAGAAGAAGAAGAAGAAGAAGAAGAAGAAGAAGAAGAAGAAGAAGAAAGAAGAAGAAGAAAGAAGAAGAAGAAAGAAGAAGAAGAAGAAGAAAGTTAAATAGATGCAGCATCCATCTTGCTTCAGTAGTAGGTCTGGCAGGACAGTAAAACGGCTGTCTCCCAGTATGTCCTAGGCTCCTCTGATGAGAGGGCTGCAGCACTTCTGGTGACATAGATCTTAGGAACTTGGTTGTACATTTGGTGTAGTCAGTTTGCCCGGGGATGAGGATCACAGGGCTGCAGCAGCGGAGAAGTTTTGGAGGGTCCAAACTCTAGTGGGTTCAGCACCACGGACAGAAGCCAGAGCAGGAGAGCAACTGTGACTCTGAGGTTTCAGCACCATGGCCAGAGGCTCTCACTTTGCTTGCAAATCTTATCCCTCCGTATACCAGAGAGTTACCTAACCCATAAATGATGGCTTCGTTACCTTCTACGGAGCTGTCTGTTCTTACTAAGCTGTAGCCTCCTGATAGAGCGGGGTCCACCTTGGAGCAACTCTAAGAACCGGCTGATTTGCGTATATCTTCATACACTGGGGTTTCTCCACTCTGGTTTTATTATAAATATATTGATCACAGGAAGAAAGAGAAGGATTATATCGCTTCTTTTCATCCTCTTGCCTTACCTCTAATTCCTAAGGTTTCAGTCTGGCTGTTTTCCTCATGTATCTGACTACAATCATATTCCCAAGGGCTAGAGGTTGGGGGGCTGTGGGTATCCTACATAGCTTTCTTCAGTTAATTTACCCCATCTGTTTGGCTTCTGAGGTATTCTTGGCAAGGCTCACAGGTAGTTTTGCATTTTGTTTTCCACCTAAGGTCAGAAGCTTTAGGCTCCCTGGTAAGAAGCCATGGCTGGCACTTTAAAGACAGCTGCAGTGATAGGACCTGGCTTTGAAGAGAGAGGAGTGAGGGGTGGTGAAGTGAGGACTCATTTCGAAATGAAAGGAGTCCTGGGTCTCTAAGCAGCTTCTAAAAATACCATCTCCCAGAGCTGGGAGGAGGGGGAGAGGAAACCAAGCGTGAGCAGAATGAAGATGGGAAGGAGGTGGGGATTCAAGAGCCCTTCTTCAGGTAGATCTCATTTCAGAGGCCCCGCCTGCATCCTGGAACCTGGCAAATGCCACACCTCCTGCTTCCCCTGGGAGCTTGTCTCCAGTGATGTCCCAGACCCAGCCCTTCTGGATGACCTTCCTTTCTAAGAGCAAAGGAGAACACCCCCCTCCCCTCCCCCCCCCACACACTACTCCTCCTATGGCTACCATTCAGCAAGTACATCTGTGAGTGTGTACACAGGCACCGGCACACACAAGTGTGTGTGCACACCCAATGAAATAGTACATGCAAGTGGCTTGTCAATGGTCAGTGATTTATGATGCCACCAATTCTTTTTACACACAGTGCACTAGGAGGTATAGAATGCGGCGGAGATGGAGTGATTCAGAGCACAGCGCCCAGGACGTGTTGGTTGGTAAAGACTGCATAATGTACAGAATGCACAGACACTCAGACCACACAGACCAAGCATATGCAGGACTCACGCTTGCAATCCAAGCAGCTCCCTCTAAGCGTCCAAAGGGAGTAGGGGGTGGGGCAAGACAAGAGCGCTGCAAAGCCAAAAGGTGGGTGTGGTTTTCTCTCCTCAAGTTCAGCCCACATGGTGAAGCTCAGTAGCTGACGCCCTCCTCCTTCCCCCTGGAAGGCCCCAACTCTTCCTACTACCAAACGGTTAAACCTTCAGCTGGTACATAAATGACCTTCACTAAACAGAGGTCGCCTTCCACGTTTTCTTGCGGCTTTCCAGCTCTGCTGAACTCTGCGAGGATTGCTCCGCCTCACTCCCAGATTTCTTGGATTACCCAGCTTCTCACTAGTCTCCTGGGGATGAGAGGATTGGGGTGCTCAGAAGGAACCCCAGCCTGAGCAGACTGAAGGCAGAAGTGTGCTTGTATCTTGAAAGCAAGAGCAAAGATCCGCGGACCCAACCTTTCATCCCAAATGTACCACCGCCCCCAGCCCGGCGTCTGCAGGCTTTCTCAACCTGGGAAGGGATGCTGGTAGGGTGGGACCTTGTCTCTCGCTTGGCTGTCTTTTCTCGAACACCTCCTGGGGTCGGGCTCAGCCCCTCCCGTGTGTGTGTGTGTGTGTGTGTGTGTGTGTGTGTGTGTGTGTGTGTGTGTGTGATGTGGGTGGGGCTAAAAAGAGGAGGGATCAAGCCAAGACACACCAGGAGCCGCAGAGACAGGAAGAGAGCCAAGGGTTGGAAGAGGCAGAAGAGCTCCTCGGGGATTGGGGGTCAAGACATCAAGCTTGGGACCACCCCCCCGCCCCGAAAGTCCAGGAAACGGGAGCTACTGGGCCAGCTGACTGGGAGACTGCAAGTGTCTCTGCTTGCCTGTGGCCGCCCCCTGTAAGCCACGCCCACACCGGCTACTTCTGGAGAAAAATGAGGGGCTAAGGTTTAGCTGGGCCCACCCCCCAAAGCTTGTTCATCTCGCTCCCCAGCAGTCCCCCTAGTGCTTAGGTCTGCCCCACCCCCACGCGTCGAGATCTGCGGGACCCCTTCCATTCCTCCCTCCAGTTGGGTGTTCCGCCCCTGGCTTACAAAACTCCACCCCTCCCATCTTCTGCTGGCGAGGATTGGCGGGCCTCCCGCGGCGCTGCCTAATGATTGGTCCCCGTGGATGATGGTGACCGACGAGACCCCGCCCCCAGCCGGTGTTGGGGTCTGGGGGCGCTGCTCACGGTGCTGGGCTGGCGCGGCTCGAGCCGCCGCCGCCGCCGCCGCACTGACAGCTCGGGCTGCGGACCATGGAGCCTGGCGCCGGTCCACACCCGCTGCGTCCCCTCGCCTGCCTGGTGCCCCTCTGCCTGGCGGTGCTTTGGGGACCCGGGCGACCTGGGACCGCCGAAGAAGGTAAGGAGACGGACTGGTGGCTGAGCTTGCGGCCGGGGATGCCAAAAGACTGGGGGACTAGCGGGAGGGCAGGGGGGTTGGGGCAGGGGGAGAGGTGGCAGTTAATGGAGAGACTGGTCTGTATTGCGTTTTGAAGCCAGCGGGCACGGGAGGCGCAGAACTGGACAGAGAGGGAGAAAGATGGTAAGCGATGGGGAAAAGAGGGGCGTTGGAGAGCTTGGGGGCTAGAGACCCCTCCCCGAGGCTGGGGGAAGAAAGAGACCAGGAACCGCGGGAGCCAGAGGCGGAGGTTCAGGGGCCGGTGAGTGATGGGAGGTGGGAGGTGTGGGGGGCGGGGAGATGAAGGGAGCAGAGGGGGCGAGGAGATGCGGAGGTGAGGTCGGAGATGGGATGGACTGGAACAGTGAGGAGGAGCTGGGGGACCGCTGTGTGGCCAGCAGAACCAGCGGGAGATGGGATGCTGGTGGCCAAGACTGGGTCCAGACTCAGCCCGAAAGTGCTGACCGTGAACTGTCCGCAGTGCTGAATTGTGAGCTCGCCTACCCCGCTCCGTCCGTGTTGCAGGGAGGTTTTGGAAGGTTGTGGGCAACACCAAAGCCTGCGTCTTGCCTCTGATTTTGCAATGGGTGTGTGTGTGTGAGTGAGGTGAGGGGGCCGTATACTCGGTTGAATCCAGAGGTGTCATATCCAGGTACAGAATCCTGAGGCGATGACCACAGGGTTGGTCCAGGAATGGGATGGCAGATGCCTTCCAAATATGCAATTACAGTGTGCTGTCAGTGATGAGAAATCAACACACCGTCAGTGGTCCTGACCACTGTGGCAGTCGCCTCTGAAGCCAGCTTCTCTTAGAGGCCCTCACTTTGGCGGCCCAGACCCTTTCTTAAGATCCAGATGAGTAATCTGCCAAGATAAGATTTGGTGGTGGGGGTTGGGGAAGGGTGCCTGACTTCCTGTCTCCTGGCTGCTGGCACTGCAGTCCAAGCCCGTGCCTTCCTGTGACCAGTGCTGCTGATCTGCCACCTCCCAGAGGAATAGAGACTCCAAGCTTCTTTGGTTTACGTAGGGGCGGGGAGTGTCATGGATTATATATAAAAAGGCCCCCAATGTAAAGGTGTCAGCCCCTGGGAAAGGGGCTGGCTGGGGAGATGAGACATGTTTATATCTCCTGTTGCCAGCAGGATCTTTTCACTTTGTTTTCTCCAGAAGACCTGGGGTCAAACTAAATATTTAAGCCTCCATCCCTGGTGACTGAACATCAGGAGGGTTCCTGAATCTGAGTAGATTTGGGAATGAATGCAGAAATTACTTGATACCCCCCATTTTCTCTCTTGAACTGTCACTCATCTATAATTTGGGGAACCTGGTAAGGCTAGGGTCACTGGCACTCCACCCCCAGGTTGAGAACTGGCCTTCAGGCTGCTGTGGAGTCTGTGGAAGGGCGAATAATCACATTCCATAAACAAACAAAATATGTCCCAGTCTCCAGAGTGAGCCACTGGTGCCTGACTTTCCATTAAAATTTTCTGAGATATCTGTTCTTCCCTCTTCTCAGTTGTCCTCCTGGATTCCAAAGCCTCCCAGGCTGAGCTGGGCTGGACTGCACTGCCAAGTAATGGGGTAGGTGTTGAACTGTCTCTTCCTATCATGGGGATCCTCTAGGAGTCCAAGACTTATACCCTCTTAGTTCACATCAGTTCACAATCCCATGACCACATCAGGTCAAATGCACCTCTTAGTGTGTGGTCTCCAGCAGCCTTGTTGTACAGACTACTAGAAAATGTTGTGTTCAGTTAGACAGTCAAATGTATGTGTGTACAAATGAATGAATAAATAAGTAAAACAAGAAAACAGAAATTTGGCAGCTAGATGGAGCTAATCTGGACAGCACACACAGTAGATCCTACAAACAATGTTGTCCTTTGAATGATAGAGCAAGCAAGATTAGGGGTCCTAAAAGAGGACTGGGAACTTGAGGTGGGAATGGGCTTAAGCAGTGTGGTTTGTAGAAGGGGCACTAGGTAGAGGAAGAGTCAAACGATTCAAGCTATACCACTAACTCAGTGTACACACTGAGTCATCCCCCCTCTGGAACCTCAGGTTCCTCTTCCATAAAAATAAGAATAACTGCTTGTGGATGGGCACCAGTGGTTCAAACCTGTAATCCTAGCTACTCAGGAGCTGAGATCAGATAATTACAGTTCAAAGCCAGCCTAGGAAGGAAAAGTCCATGTGATTCTTATCTCTAGTTAACCATCAAAAAAAAACAAAAAAAACCCAGAAGTAAAGCTGGGCATTGGTGGCCTCCACCTATAATCCTAGCTACTCAGGTGGCTGAAAGCTGAGGATCACAGTTCAAAGCCAGCCTGGGCAGAAAAGTCTGTGAGACTCTTATCTCCAATAAGGTACTCAGAAAAAGCTAAAAGTGGTGCTGTGGTTCAAGTGGCAGAGCAATAGCCTTGAGAGGCTCAGGGACAGCTCCCAGGCCCTAAGTTCAAGCCCCAGGACTGTCCAAACAACAATAACAACACACACACACACACACATTGCTTGTTCTACAGCACATGTACTAAATCTGGAACAATATAGAGAAAATCTGTATGATGCATACTCAAGATTGACAGACAAATTCATAAAGTGTTCCATTTCCTTTTTATTTTCCCATCCCAAACATTCCATATTTTAAAAAGGAGAACCAGGTGTGGTGGCACACTCCTAGAATCCCAGTATATCAGGAGGCTGAGTGAGGATTGACAATCAGAGGCCCCCTGAGTTACCTACAGACCCTTTCTAAAAGAAAAACAAAAAAACCCACAGACTCATTTGTTTCCAGAGTTTCTCCTAGCGCTGCACGTTATCATTTTACGTGCGTGTGTGTGTGTGTGGTGGGAGCAATTAAGGAAAAGGTAAAAGTTGATGGAGCAGGGCTAGCACTTAACCTCTTGGAGTACGTGGGCTCTGAGCTGTCCCCGGCTTCTTTCCCCCTGCTTCTGTCCCAGTGGGAGGAGATCAGCGGGGTGGACGAACACGACCGTCCCATCCGCACATACCAAGTGTGCAACGTGCTGGAGCCCAACCAGGACAACTGGCTGCAGACGGGCTGGATCAGCCGCGGCCGCGGGCAGCGCATCTTCGTGGAGATGCAGTTCACACTGCGTGACTGCAGTAGCATCCCCGGAGCCGCAGGCACCTGCAAGGAGACCTTCAACGTCTACTACCTGGAAACCGAGGCCGACCTGGGTCGGGGGCGACCCCGCCTCGGGGGCAATCGGCCTCGAAAGATTGACACCATAGCCGCGGATGAGAGCTTCACGCAGGGTGACCTGGGTGAGCGCAAGATGAAGCTGAACACCGAGGTGCGTGAGATCGGCCCGCTCAGCCGGCGGGGCTTCCACCTGGCCTTCCAGGACGTGGGCGCGTGCGTGGCTCTGGTCTCGGTGCGCGTCTACTACAAGCAGTGCCGCGCCACGGTGCGGGGCCTGGCGGCCTTCCCCGCCACGGCGGCTGAGAGCGCCTTCTCCACGCTGGTGGAAGTGGCCGGAACGTGCGTGGCGCACTCGGAAGGGGAGTCTGGCAGCCCCCCGCGCATGCACTGCGGTGCCGACGGCGAGTGGCTGGTGCCCGTGGGCCGCTGCAGCTGCAGCGCAGGATTCCAGGAACGTGGTGACATCTGCGAAGGTATCCAGCGGCCAGGGAGGCACGTGTGGGAGTGGAGAACGCAGGAGACACTTGGGAGAGAAGCAGGGGGTGGGGGAGTGGATCATAGAGCTTCTAAGTGGGCCTAGTTAGGACCAGGGAGCAAAGCTCCTCAGACCGTGGAAGGAGGCATTAGGGACTTGTATGGAAGGCAAAATCGTCCGCATCTTACACTGGCTGTGGTGTCTTTCTTTTTATTTAGGAAGGTACTGGGAGTTCAACTCAGGGCCTGCCCACTGTCCTGTAGCTTTTTTTTCTCAAGACTGACACACTGCCACTTGAGCCATAGCTCCACTTCTGGCTTTTTTTTTTTTTTTTTTTTGGTGGTTAATTGGAGGAAAAAGTATCCTGAACTTTCTAGCCTGACCTGGGCTTTTTAACCTAGATCCTCAGATTTCAGACTCCTGAGTAAATAGCTAGGATTACAGGTGTGAGCCATTGGTGCCTGGCTTAAGCTTTCACTTATTTGTGCAGCAGTAAAGTAAGGCTTCGATGTCCCTACTTCATAGAGTGCTCAAAGAGATTAATACAGCAAAGTTAGGCAACTGGGAGCCAGGGCTTAACTCTGAATTTGCCATACTCTCAAGTTCTTTCTATTACACTAGGCTTCTGTCTCTGTATCTAAGAAAGACACCCATTCAACTCAACTCAAGCTTTTAAAGGAAGCCAGCCTCCAATCCCCTATCATAGAATACATACAAGCCCGCAACAGGCAGGGTGCACTTCAGAGGTCAAGAGAGAGCAAGAGGCAGATTGCAGTAGATTTGACTACTGAGATCCCACTCACCTCTCTGAATTAGACTCATCAGGTACCTCAGAGGAGATATCACATGATGGGGTGTTTGCCAGGTCCTGGGGTCTATGGGAGGCATTAGGAAATGGAGGGTAAGGAGGGGGCTAGGAACGTGTGTATTTAATGTAAAAAAAAAACAACTTCAAGGATCCATTTTCTAAACCAAGTCCTTTTCTGGGTGCCAGAGCATCAGAAATGAATCAAACATAATCCCAGCCTTCGCAAAGCTCATGTCTAGATGGAAAACAGCAAAGATTTCTTTTTTTTGGTGTGTGTGGGGGGTCTTTTCTTCTTTTTTCCTTTCTTCCTTCATTCCTCCCTCCCTCCCTTTCTTCCCTCCCTCCATTTCTTCCTTCCCTTTCTTTCTTGCTTTCTTTCTTTCTCTCTTTCTTTCTTCCTTTCTTTCTCTCTTTCTTTCTTTCTTTCTTTCTTCCTTTCTTCCTTCCTTTCTTTTTTTGTCATGTGGGACTTGAACTCAGGGCCTGGGCACTGACCCTGAGCTCTTCTGCTCAAGACTAGCACTCTACCACTTTAAGCCACAGCTCAACTTCTGGCTTTTTCTGTGATGAATTGGATAGAAGAGTTTTATAGTGACTTTTCTGCTTGGGCTGGCTTTGAGCCTCAGATCTCAGCCTCCTGAGTAGCTAGGATTACAGGTATGAGCCACTGGCATCTGGCTCAAAGGTTTTTTTTAAGTCACAAGAAGGTGATATATGTAGAGGGGCATGCTGAATTGTGGAAAGACAGAGGAGGAAGACAGTGGCTACACTTACTGTCATTCCTTTGTTCAATCATCCATTTAATATGAACTGAAAACACACCAGCTGATTTATTTAGGTCTTATTATATGTGTGTAGATGAATGCCACCACCTAGTCTCTGGGGGGAAATTGAGGTTTAGTCTTTCTGGTCTCTGAACAACTCAGTCATGGCTAGGATCTATGTCTGTGCTTTCCAGCACTCACAGCCAACTCTAATACTGCATTTACCCTACAGTATGCAGGAGTCCTCTTATGTGTACTTCCACCACTGGAGTGGCACTTCTTGAGCCCAGGCATTGGGTCTCATTACTCTCAGCAGCTGCAGTGTACACTGCAGGATACAGTATATGGCAGATGCTCAGTGGAAATGCCTTGGACAAGCAAGTAGTTAGTATGGGGGTGATACATGTCAACAGAGCACCGACGAAACATGGAGAAGGGAGAAGCCAATTCTAAGGATGGAGAGAATTTTCTGGAGGAAGTGAGAAGGCATCTCCTCCAGGTAGCAGAGAGAATTCTGAGCTTTGGGACTGGCTGCATGCCAGCAGGAAGGAAGGACCACAGCATGTGTGGTGTTATAAAAGTAATCATGTGTTTAGAGCAAAGGGAATGTGGGATATGAGGAATGATAAGGCTGGAGAGGGGTGGGAAAAATCATGAAAGGGCCTTGATGAGGTGGATTTTAAGGTGTGTGTGTATATGCGCGCGTGCGCTTGAACTCAGGGGCAGAGTGCTGCTCCTTAGTTTTTCTTGCTCAAGGCTGGTGCTCTGTCACTTGAGCCACACCATTTGGCTTCAAGCTGTGATCCTGAGATTTCAACTAGGATAACAGCTGTGAGCCACTAGTATCCAGCTTTAGTGTTTTTGATCAATAAATCATGTTCTGATTTATATCCTCCAAAGATCACCCAAGTGGTAGTAGTATAGCAAGGATGGGAGAAAAACACATTGGACACCAGAAGATGGAGAAGACAATCCAGTAGCCCAGGAGAGAGCACAAGCTCTGAACAGAAGCAATATGGAGATCACAGAGAGTTAATGTGTTTGGGAGACAGCCTCTGAATCGCCTAGTGACCATGTGACACAGGAAGCAAAGGAGCACTCTGGTCTTGTATTCTGCTGTTGACTGAGTGACCAGAGGGATCATCTGCTAGGTATGGAGCACAGGGTGCAGTTGGACAGGTACATTCAAGACAAAGTAGTTAGCTGGAGTCCAGCAGCATAGGTACTACTTGAAGCTCTGTATGTGTAACAAACCAGAAAAAAAAGATGGGGTAAGAAGCAAGAGGAGCTGGACACCGGTGGCTCATGTCTGTAATCCTAGCTACTCAGGAGGCTGAGATCTGAGGATCGTGGTTCAGAGCTAGCCTGGGCAGGAAAGTCCATGAGACTCTTATTTAACTGCCAGAAAACTAGAAGTGGTGCTGTGGCTCAAATGGTAGAGCTCTTGCCTTGAGCTGAAGTGCCCAGGCCCAAAGCTTAAGCCCCATTACCAACAATAACAACAACCAAAAAGAGAAAAAAGAAGAAAAAAAGAAGCAAGCGGACTAAATATGAAGACTCTCATAAAAACAATATATAAGGCAAAAAAAATCAGACTGGGGCTGGGAATGTGGCTTGGTGGTAGAGTCCTTGCCTAGCATGCATGAAGCCCTGGGTTCAATTCCTCAGTACCACATAAACAGAAAAAGCTAGAAGTGGCGCTGTGACCCAAGTGGTAGAGTGCTAGCCTTGAGCAAAAGAAGTTCAGGGAGAGTGCCCAGGCCCTGAGTACAGCACTAGGATTGGAGGAAGAAAGAAAGAAAGAAAGAGAGAGAGAGAAAGAAAAAGTGAGAAAGAGAAAGAGTGAGAAAGAGAGAGAGAGAGAAAGAGAGAGAGAAAGGAAGAAACCAGACTGATGGGAGACCGAGGGATGTAGCTCAGCAGTAGAACACTTGTCTGACATGCGTAAGGCCTGCTGGTTCAACCCCCAGTACTGCCAAACAAATTAAAAGCTGAAAAGAGAGAGTGGTAAGGAACTGGAGGACAGGGAGGAGAAGGTGACATCATGGAAGCCTGGGGGTGGGGGGCTAGTGGAGACTTCTGGGAAGGAGCAGCCTACAGTGTGGTCAGATTAGATGATGTCCTCTTGGTGGGTTTGGTAAGAGCAGTTTCAGCTGCTCTTGTCTGAGTTGCACTGGGCTGAGGGATAGCGGGCACTGAGGGGATGGAGTCAGAGAATCTCACAGCTTGGATGGGAATGGGAAGAAGACAAGAGGGCATTGTCAGGAGAACACTGAGTTGGGAGGATTTCTACTTGGACACAAAGGGGACTTTTACAGTATAAAGGAGACTTGCTTGTATGCTAAAGGGAGAGACCCAGTCGAATGCCCAGTGTGTAGAGCAGTATTCCACTCTAGGAGGAAGGATTATTTTCTTCACTGATGTGGGTTAGAATTACTAATGTATGTTGCTAATAAAGAATCAGGCCAATTTTAAGTCAGTTTTAGGATTATTTAAAAATAGAGTCAGGTACCAGTGGCTCACACTTAAAATCCTAGCTACCTGGGAGGCTGAGATCAGAGGATCACAGTTCAAAGCCAGCTCGAGCAGGAAAGTCTGCAAGACTCTTATCTCCAATGAACCACTAGAAAACCAGAAGTGGTGTTGTGTCTCAAGTGATAGAGCTCTCACCTTGAGCTGAAGAGCTCAGGGACAGCACTCAGGCCTAGAGTTCAAGCCCCATAACTACCACCACCAAAAGCTCAGGATAGCATGAATGAAGTGGCTGGCAAGTGGAGTTTTGGGAGACTTTTAGAAAGGGAAGGGAACTGGTTACTTGTATTTAGCAAGGCCATTCCTTCCAAATTCTTGCAGGATCTTCATACCCCTCTGTAAAAGTAGAGGGCTGTGGAGGAGGGAGGGGATAGAGCAGTCTTCTTTTACTTTTTCTGTCTTTAGTAACCTTGACTTGTTCCCCCTGTCCTAGCCACTAGAGAAATGACAAAGTAGGGTTTCCTTTTAGGGGAAAGATCAGGACATATAGCTTATATCTTCAAACTCATGGGTCATCCCTGGAACCCAGAGACCCAGGAAGATCTACTTTCTGAGGCTCTGCAAGGCATACTGATGCCTCATGATGGGGTAGCCTGGCCAGCATTGCATATAGAAGGGAGAGCGAGGGATAATCAGGCATCTTCCTAAGAAGCACTTTCTAAATGCCTGCACATTAAGAGCTATCTGAGCAAAGACCAGTGTGCTGGGAAAGCTGCCAGAGGACCAAGCCAGTGGGAGTTGAAGCAGATGACCTCTGAAATCCTGATTCTGACCTTGAGGAAGAGAGGGAGATGTTGGCTGCAAGGATTCCTTTCTGAGTCTGCCCTTCAACAAGCATCTCTTCTAGATAGACAGTCTCAGAAAAGAGATGCCCACAGCTGCCTCTGATAGAGCCACACAGATAGCAGCCAAGATGGCAGACATCCGTATACTCTTCCCCCTAATGCCTGCATCCCTGCCCACCACACAGGTGGGCAGGCAATGATCAGCATTCTCATTTACTTGATAGTTTCCTGGGGCTACAGAGGCATGAGTGGCCTGGCTAATATGATAACCCAGGCCCTCTGAGTCCCAGCACTGTGATGGCTGGACTTGGTGCTCTGTGTGAAGAGAGACCCACAGCCGGCTAGGGTGCTGAGACCCTCCCTTAAAGTGTGCTGGTCAGGCTCTGAACCCTTCTAAATCTAAGCCTTCTATACAATGGAGTAACTCAGCATCCCCCACCCCAGTTCTTCCCAAGGAGCAGTTTGCTTACCAGCTACTGCATTGCTTTCTTGGAGTCGAAGAGCTAGAATAGAGGGAAGGGAAGGGATAGGGAACAAGTTCATAACCACCTAGGTTAGAAAGGAGGAGCCAGGAACCACTACTCCTCTCCCTGGCCCATCTGGTGAGACAAAAAAAAAAAAAAAAATAGAGGACAGTGTAAGTTTTCTTTTCAGGCCTGTGAGGAGGAATACTAATCAATTCGATCGCTGTGAAAAAGTCCTGTACGCCGGTCTAATCGGTTTACATGTTTTATCTCAGTTAATCCTCCAGCAACTTTAAAGTAGCTCTTCCACACAAAGCTCAGAGAGGTCAAATGATAATGCTCAAGGCCACTCAGCAAATAAATGGTGCAACTTAGTTACAAACCAGGATGTTCAGACATAAGAGCCTGTGCATGTAGGTAAGTGCTATACTCTTGGTGAGGTGGGAGAAGAGAGAGAAGCAAAGTCACCCTGCAGGTGTCAACGTAAGAAGAGGTTAGCTCAAGGTCCAGGTAACTTTCTGGGTGCTTCTCCTCTTCTCCACAGTTATCATCTTACCAGCTCCACTGGAGTCTAGGATATGAGTTGGGGATTGATGACACTAACTCCAAAGGTGGGAGGATGAGGTTTGACAACAGTGTGTGTGTATGAAGAAGTGGGTGGAATGTGTCTGGCCCAGGGTAACTGAGGCCCAGCCCTGGGGCACACTTCCATTATCTCTCTAGAATCAGGACTCCCTAATTTGGCTCATTTTCTGTCTGGGAGCCTTAGAGCAGCCTGATGAGGTCTCTGAAAGTGATGTGCCTGGGTTGGCATCCCATTAACCTGGACAACTTACATAACTTTCCCAGCTCTTAATTTCCTCTTTTGGGTGTATGTGGGGGGCGGCTGTAAGGGGGGGAGGTGGGCAGTTCTGGGGCTTGAACTCAGGGTCTGGGGGCTGTCCCAGAGCTTTCCTGCTGCTCAAGGCTAATGCTCTACCACTTTTAAGTACAGCTCCAATTTTGGCCTTTTGTTGGTTAACTGAGATAAGAATCTCACAGATGTTGCTGCCCAGGCTGGCTCTGAACCTCCATCTCAGCCTCCTGGGTAGCTAAGATGATATATTATGATGCTTGGCAGTTTCCTCATTTTAATTTTTTTAATGAAGTCATACCTCATAGGTTGGCACTAGGATCAGAAGATTAATATAAGTGAAATATGACAAAGTCCCCCCCCCCTCAATGTTTGCCAAAAACCCTGGGTTGCTCAGGAGCTGCCATGCGCCAGCCACCCTGGTGGTGCGGGGTCCCTCAGTTTCCTTATCACTACTGGACAAGAGGAACCCCAGCCTCATGGGGGGCCAGGCAGGAAGGGGGGGGAAGAGAGGAGCTGTGGAGGAAGTCCCCCTCCTCACTGGCTCCCTCCTTGCAGCCTGCCCCCCAGGGTTTTACAAGGTGTCCCCACGGAGGCCTCTCTGCTCACCGTGCCCGGAGCACAGCCGCGCCCTGGAAAACGCCTCCACCTTCTGCGTGTGCCACGACAGCTACGCGCGCTCGCCCACCGACCCGCCCTCGGCCTCCTGCACCCGTGAGTGTCCTCGCTGCGCGCGCGGCCGAAGGGTAGGGGTAAGAACCCGGGGACCACCCCCCCCCCCCAACAATGGCAAGCCTGGGTGGGGCTGGGGACCAAGCCCGGAGTTGGAAGATCCCAGACCAGAGAGAGTCCGGATGCAGGAGGGATGAGGTTGGGACTCCCGGAGGGTCGCCCTCCCCTCATCCCCGCCCCCTCCAAGGCCTGGAGGGGGCACCGGTCTGTTCTCAGCCCTCACACCCCCATCTCCTCGTGCCCCTGCCCGCTCCTACACCGCCCCCCGCCCAGCCCCGTCTCTCCATCCCCTCCCCGTTCTGGGCCCCCACGTCCGCTCTCGCCACCTCATTGGGGTGAGGAGCGGATCTCCGCCCGCCCCGTCGGTTCCTCCCCTCCCTCCCGCTGAGCCTCCCCCCCCCCCCCCCCCGCCCCGTGCCGCCCAGGGCCGCCGTCGGCGCCGCGGGACCTGCAGTACAGCCTGAGCCGCTCGCCGCTGGCGCTGCGGCTGCGCTGGCTGCCGCCGGCCGACTCGGGCGGCCGCTCCGACGTCACCTACTCGCTGCTGTGCCTGCGCTGCGGCCGCGAGGGCCCGGCCGGCGCCTGCGAGCCGTGCGGGCCGCGCGTGGCCTTCGTGCCGCGCCAGGCCGGGCTGCGGGAGCGCGCCGCCACGCTGCTACACCTGCGGCCCGGAGCGCGCTACACCGTGCGCGTCACCGCGCTCAACGGCGTCTCGGGCCCCGCGGCCGCCGCGGGAGCCACCTACGCACAGGTCACCGTCTCCACCGGGCCCGGGGGTAAGGCCGCGCCGCGCGCCCGCCCGCCCCTCCTCCCGCCGGCATCCCCAAAGCAACCACAGTCCACGTGCATGCACGCCGGCACGCAGCTGGCCTCTCTCCAGGACTCCCAGGCACCCCCAGCCCGGACCCCGCTCCCACCCCCTCCCCGACTCCCCAAGGAGAAACTGAGGATGCAGGCAGGGGATCAGAGAGGATGGGAGGCTCCAGGGGCGGGGATGGCGGACGATGGCGGGGGTCCCCTGCCACCAGCTACGCGGCAGACAGTGCCCCCAGAGAGATGGGAAGTCTTTTTCCTTTTCTTTACAACTATTTCGGCAAAAAGCTCGTAGTACTTTTTCCTCTGTCGCCGAAAGAGGTGGTGGTGGTGGGGTGTCTGCCGTGTCCCCCGCTTCCAGTCACCCTGTCCTGATCACCGGGCGGGCACGGGCGGCGCACGCGGGGGCAGACTGGGCACCGAAAGGACTGGCAAGGCACAGCTCAGTCTGGGATTGAAGGGAACGAATGAATCCGGAAGACATGTTACCTCCGTCTCCTTCTTGACATTTACTTTTGAGCTGTCTCCCTTCTAAAGGGAGGTGGTGGTGGTGGTGTCTTTCAAGTAATCCCTTAAGTGCCCTTTGCAAGAAAGAGTGGTGGTGGTAAGGCTTGGGAGGCGCTGCCTGTCCGGCGGGTATGATTGCTTCCTGACCTCACGGCCTGTCTTCTGCGACCTGCCTCCATCTTCATACAGCAGCATTGGCAGGAGAGAAGTCTGAGTCTAGGGTTATTTTGTTCTGTTGTCAGTAACGTGAGTGTGCATATACATACATACATACACACACACACACACACACACACACACACACACACACACAAACACTGCCTATCTGAATAATTCATTAACCTATTGATAAGAATTAAAATTTAACCAATATGGCTTTCTTTCCATTTGAGTTTGTTTGGAACAGAGTAAACCATTGGATCTGCACACACACACACACACACACACACACACACACACACACATTTAATTCCTAGAAAAGTTGTCTTCAGTTATTGCTTGGACCTAGAACTTCTGATAGCTCCGGTGTATCTTCTAAGACTATCTTCTAAGCCTTAGCTTGTACATCCATTTTCTGATTCTCCAATCTTGTCCATCCCTTTATCATTTTTAGCGCTTAATCCCTTCCCTTCTCTTTGCCTTTTGAGAGTGATTTCCCAGCCTGCCTGGCTTTCTACCACAGCGTTTCTGCTCTTTATTCTCTCTCTTGTGATTTAACATTTGCTATTGTACTTACCTTTTAAAAATTCAAAATTCAAGGGCTAGGGATGTAGCTCAAAGGCAAAACTGCTTGGGTATTACACATGAGATCCTGGGTTTGATCCTCAGTACTGATAAATAAATAAATAACAACTGAAAACTCAGGGCAGAAAGAAAAAGAAGGAAAGAAAGAAAAAGCCCTCAGGATAGAGAAAGGAATAAATAAATAAACAATCCAGCTGGGCACCAGAGGCTCACATTTATAATCCTAGTTATCCAGGAGCCTGAGGTATGGAGGATTGAGCTTCAAGACTAGCCTGGGTAGACAAGTTCACTAGACTTCATCTCAAACCACAACAACAACAACAACAACAAAAAGCAGGGCTAGGTTGTGGATGAAGTGACAGAGTGCCAGCCTAGCAACCCTTGGTACTGGCAATTGATCAACAGCTTTTATTAGGTTCCTTATGCTATCTTAATACATACTTGGAGCATATTTTGAAGTTATTCACTTTCCATCTTTCTTTTTTTTCCTTCTCTGATCACCCTAAACAGTCTCATAGTTAGAATCAGTGAATATGTGTGTGTGTTTCCAGTGTAATTTCCATACATGCGTGAAAAATATATTTGGTTTTTCGAGCTTGGCTTATCTCAATTAACATGGTCTCCAGTTTTACCTTTTCTTGCAAGTGACATGATTTCATTTTTCTTTATGGCAGAGTAATATTCTATGGTCTATATGCACTATTTTTTTTATCCATTTGCTTGTTATTGGATGCCTGGGCTAATTCCAGTTAGGCTCTTGTGAACAGCACTACAATAAACATGGATAAGCAAGTACCTTACTTGTATATTGATGTGTACTCCTTTGGATATATGACCACTAGGGTGGTATGTTAGGGTCGTAAGTTAGGCCTATTTTCAGTCTTCTGAGGAATGTCCTTATTGATTTCCATAGTGATTGCAATAGTTTACATTCTCACCAGTAATGGATGAGAGTTGCCCTACAACCTAACCAGCATCTGTTGTTTGTTTCCTTGATGACTACCATTCCGACTGGGGTGAGTTGGAATGTAAGTGTAGCCTTCATCGGGTGCTGCTATCACATACCTGTCATCCTAGCTACTCAGGAAGCTGAGATTTGAGGATCGTGATTCAAAGTAAGCTGGAGCAGAAAAGTCTGTGAGACTTTTATCTCCAACTAATCACCAGAAAACCAGAAGTGGAGCTATGAATCCAAGAGGTAGAGCACTATCCTTGAGCAAAAAGATCCACTCAGGGGTAGCGCTCAGGCCCTGAGTTCAAGCCCTGAGCCTGAAAAAAAAAGGTTCCTTTGATTTGCATTCCCTTTATAACTAAGGATATTGGACATTTCTTTTTCTTTTTTTTTTTCTTTTTGGCAGTCCTGGGGCTTGAACTCAGGGTCTGGGCACTGTCCCTGAGCTTCTTTTTTTGAGGGGGGAGGGGCCCGGTTGTGGGTCCTGAACTCTGGGCCTGGGCACTGTCCCTCAGCTCTTCAGCTCAAGGCTAGCGCTCTACCACTTGAGCCACAGCGCCACTTCCGGCTTTTTTCTTTTTGCTTATGTGGTGCTGAGAAATCGAACCCAGGGCCTCATGCATGCAAGGCAAGCGCTCTACCACTGAGCCACCTTCCCAGCCCTGGACATTTCTTAACCATTTGTATTTCTTCTTCTCAGAAGTGTCAGGGCTGGTTTCAAACTAATATCCTCAGATCTTAGCCTCCTGAATGGCTAGAATTACAGGTATGAGCCACTGGTGCCCAGTTAATTTTTTAACTAACTTACTAACTAAATATTTAATAGTAATAAAAATTAATTTTTAAATTTTATTTATTATTTATTTATTTATTTTTATTGTGAAAATACCGTACAGAGGGGTTACAATTACATGGGCAAGATAACGAGTACATTTCTTATCAAGCATTGTTGCCTCCTCCTTTGTTTCCCCTTCCCATCCCTTCCCATACTCCCCCCCTTCTGCCCCCCACCCGATCCTCCTCCCCCCCACCAAAGTTGTAAAGTTCGTTTTTCGACATAACGACTTGTACATCTCATTGTTGCAATGGGTCCACCTGTATCCCTAGTTAAACAATTTGTTTTTTCCCTTCCCCTTCACAAATTATACCAACATCAAATACAGTGAAGGCAGGGGTTATACCGTGGGGGAGGGACATGCAAAGAAACAAAGAAATCATCTTATAAATATGTTAGAAACAATTGCATGAAAGAAAAAAAAACATTTGAATACTTATCTTGGGGTTCATTTCCCTAACATCAACTTATCTGACCTTTTCTGCTTGTCTCAGACATACACTGGTTATTGCAAATAAGGGAAACCATGGGACCTATGTTTCTTTGGGCCTGGCTTACTTCACTTAATATAATTTTTTCTAAGTTTTTTCATTTCCTAACAAATGGGCAATATTATTCTTTCTGATGGAGGCATAGAATTCTATTGTGTATACATACCACAATTTTCTTGATCCATTCATCTATTGAGGGACATCTGGTTTGGTTCCATATCTTAGCTATGGTAAATAATGCTGCAATAAATAGCAATTTTTTTCTGGTACTGGGCCTGGGCATTGTCCCTCAGCTTTTGCGCTCAAGTCTAGCCTTCTACCACTTGAACCACAGTTCTGCTTCTGGGTTTTTGATGATTAGATAGAGAGTCTCGTGGGCTTCCAGGTGCTGGTGGTGCACACCTGTAATCCTAGCTACTAAGGAGGTTGAGATCTGAGGATCATGGTTCAAAGCCAGTTTGGGCAGCATAGTTGGTAAGATTCTTATCTCCAAACTACCAGAAAACCAGAAGTGGCACTGTGGTTCAAGTGGTAGAGTGCTAGCCTTGAGCTGAAGAGCTGAGGGTCAGTTCCCAGGCCCAGAGTTCAAGTCCCCCTCCCCCCCCCCCCACAGAGTCTTCTCATGGGCTTTTTCTTGGCCTTGAACCTCCATTCTCAGATCTCAGCCTCCTACATAGCTAGGATTACAAGCATGAGCCACCAGTACCAGGCTTAATTTTTTTTCTAAATTTCTGATCTCTAAATAGTTGTACAAAGGGGTTTCAATTCAATGTCTCAGTTTATGAGTGCCACACATCTTGGTCAGTGTTACCCCTTCCATCATTCTTCTCCTTGCGTCCATCGCAACTTCCAACCCCTCTGCTTACCCATTCATTTATAAATTAGATTAAGTTTTCTTTTGATGGTTAACTTTTTTTTTTTTTTTGCCAGTTCTGGTCTTGAACTCTGGCCTGGGTGCTATCACTAAGCTTTCTCAGCTCAAGGCTATAGTGCTCTACCACAGCGCCACTTCCGGTTTTCTGGTGGTTTTTGGAGATAGAATCTCAAGGACTTTCCTGCTGGGGCTGGCTTTAAACTGTAATCTTCAGATCTCAGCCTCCTGAGTAGCTAGGAATACAGGCATGAGCCACTGGTGCCCGGCTTCAATCCTCTTTTTAAAGAACTTTTTAAACTCTATATATTCTGGATTTTAATCTTTGCCTGTTGAATTATTAGCAAAGATTTTCTTCCGTGAGTTGGCTCTTAGTTCTGAGGATCATTTCTTTGGCTATGCAGAAACTTTTTAACTTGATGAAGTCCCATTTGCCAGTTCTTGTTATTATTTTCTGTGCTATTGGAATCCTATTCAGAAGATAATTATCTGTGTCTATTACTTCCAGAGCTTTCTCTATGTTTTCCTTTAGTAGATTGAAAGTTTCAGGTCATACTTTCAGT